ATATATATATATATGTATAATTCGATTATATACAATAGAAATTTCATCTCTCGCGACGCTCTGGTACTCAATGTGAAAATCTAACCTTCTGTCAACAATGTAATGAAAAATTTTCATCCTTTGTCTACAATCTAGGTTTTTCAAATTTCAAGTGTAGATTTTTATATTGTTCTGGACTTTATAAAAATCTGAAAAAATTCTTATATATACTTGCGAAAGCTTTAACGAGTTTTTACTATCGTATAGTATAATAGAAGTCTTTTACTTGGAATGTCTTTTACTTATATTTTTTATAAATTTAATCTACCAGACATCGCAGACATCTACCAGAATTCGCAATCAAATAATCGACTGTGCCTTTGAAGTCCAAGATGCGGATGGAGAATTAACGATTGAAATGTGATTTTTATATTATAAGGAAATAATAAAGAAAGAGGGGCAGGGAATAAGGGATAAGTTATATTAGCGATAAAAGACACGCGTTTATTATGGCTTCTGGACGATATTGTAGTAATTGCGTTGAAGTAACTTTTGATTACGATATTGGGAGACCACGACTTGGGGGTTTGGGATGTGGCGGACACCGAGGTTAGGCTTACTTTTCATGCCAAAACCGGAAATGCGATGATGCGGCTGTGGTATGCGCAAAGCAACCTTATTAGCGGCGGCGTTTACGTTTGCGGAGGTTAGAGATTCTACCGGCGAATTCTTTTCGGTACTACTCATACGTGACACTGCGACATCCGAAAGAGTCTTCAGATTCGATTCTTGCTGTCCTTTGCCGCGTTGCTGTTCCAGCTCCTTGGATTTACGGACGACCGTGCCACCGGTTGTGGATCGCGCTGACAGTTTCGACAACGGCGGTAAAGAGGAAGATGAGGAAGAGGTGAGAGAAGATGAGGAGGAGGACGAGAAAGATGGAAGATGGTTGCTGCCGGGTAACGTAGCAGACAAATCGAGAACGTTGTCGTTGTCGTTGTCGTTGTCGTTGACGGTAGTACCGCCGCTGCTGAGATCTAATGGCGTTTCATATTTGGAAGTGATATTCGACACTATCACGCTGGTCGCGGCAAAACTGGATGATTTCGCGACGCGTATAGGCGTCAACGGTGGTGGTTCCTTCATCTTCGGCATGACAGGCACAGCCACGGGCGCGGTAGGCACGGGTGTGGCGACGGTGACAGCAGCGGTGGCGGAAGTAAGAACGGACGCTGGTGTCTTTATGACGGACGGTGTTAATTCCTCCTTCTTGGAGATAATAGTCTTGAGGGCGTCACGCATCTTCTTCTCCGCCAGTAAGCTTCGCACGCGGTTTGCCTTGTTTTCGCGCAACTGCTTCTCTAGCTTGTCATGGTTCAGGTTGTCCACTTTGTCGATGCCACTTTGTGTTCGTTGCTTCGCCGTTCTGTCACCGCTGGCTTCATTAACGGCTATCAAACCTAGTCGCCGCAGAATCTCCTCGTCTTTCTTCGGACTCTCCGATTCGTCACTACTCTCCGGTGTTTTCGTTCGTTCCGGCACCTCCTTATTAATCTTTTTCGCCGTGGAACACTCCTTGAACTTAGTTTCTTCGTTTTGATTGTTTATGTTCTGCGCGATACGCACGACCTCGTCAGGAATGCTGTCGATGATATCCTCGATCGTTTCTTCCGTCTCTATTACGACGCACTCTTTGGATTTGGTTTCCTCTCGAGCTACTGGACTCGTCGGCGATCGCTGCTGCACTGCAATCGCTTTGAGCTTGTCGCGTCTAACTGCTCGCATCTGTAACAGTTTCTCCTTCGTTTGACTATTTGCACCACCTCCGCTTCCACTCCCTCCACCGCCTGTCGCCCCGGAAGTAATCCTCGGAGGACGCGGCGTCAGACGGACCTTAAGCTTCAAGAGATCCTCGCGCGGCACTGTGGTGATCTCCGCGATCACTCGCTTGTGTCGTTTGTGCCTCTTTCGATGTTCCAATCTTGCCATATCCTTGTTCTTCGTTTTCTCTAGCGACCGATGACGATTGCTTGTCGACAGTTCAATGGTTGACGGAGGATCCGGGGTACGCATAACGGGAGTCACCTCACAACGTGGTTTTTTCGTTTTTATCTCTTTGTCGCGAACATTGACATTTGTTTCGAGAGCACGAGGTGGCTCCGCGTTACAAGCTTCCTCTTCGTACTCACGATTGGGCTTGGGACTGGGTGGTGGGGTCGGTGGTCGCTGTATATTTTCCATCGCCGGCGGAACATCCTTGGTCACGTCGTCTTTGTAAACGGGAACTTTTGAGATTAAAACCTGTCCTTCTTTTCCCAACACCCGGTAGAATAGTTTCATTGGCGCCTCCTGCAACAGATGGAATCATCGCGCCGCCTTTCATAACGTCTGCACTGCACCGGACAGCTCAACCGAGTAGCTATAGGCTAGATTCAGTTATAACAAATATCAAAATTTATAACTGTTGCTACTTGGTAAGTTTATTTATTTTATTTACAAAAAAACTTCTCGAGAATACTTTTCTGCCCAAGTTAGAAGACAATACTTTTGAAAATAAATCGACGATTTAACGATCATGAGTGATAAAATATCGAAATATTGCCGCTAAAATGGCACGCATTGCGATATCAATAGTAATGAAAATGTTTTTTGTGATTGCTCTTTAGTAAATAAAATACTAAAGTTAATTAAAATGTAATGAATAAGTTTCTTTAACATTAATCAATAAGTACTAGTGGAAAATTACACATGAGTATGTGTTAACAAATATTCAACGTTTGCTCTTTCAGATAGACTTGAAATTAAGGATATATAGATATTATTTTTACAAATGTGTTAATATTTATACTTTAAACAAACCATATATATAAAAGTTATGTTAAAAACATTTCGTTTTTATTAAACAACACATTTTTTTATAGTTTATTTTATTTGTTACTATTTTGTTATAAATTAAAATTTAAGAAATGATAATAAAAATCTAATTTTTTTAATAAGTACTTTAAATATTCAAAATAACTTATGCAATTAAATACTTAAGCATATTCAAGCCTATGACGGTCAAAGCTAGATCTTCTAAATGTCTAAATAATTCACAGTGAATTATCTGTATCCTGTATGGTATATATGCACATGCATATATACCATATTTTTGTAGTTATTCAACTTAAGCAATGTTTTATTACAATTCACTAATTAGTTACAAAAATATAGAACAAATAAATATTTTATTTATTTATTAAACAACTAGTCCATTGTCTAGATATAACTTTACATAAATAATCTTGAATACATAATGTATTTATATTAAAAAGTTGAGATTTTTATCATTTATTTCATAATACATTTCCGTACATTTTTATTAGATTAAAAAACTACTAGATACTATTTATTAAAAAAAAAAATATATATATATATATATATACACAAGGTGTCTAATAATTGTTCTGACAGAGTTCGTGGACATGTAGAGCGGACTAAACTGTGACGGAAAGTCCTCTATTATTTTACAATTTTTGCAATAGTTAACAAGATATTAATTGCTAAAAATTGCCGAAAATTGGTCTTCAATAATTTTTTATTCAAATACTATTAACTTTAACTTAACAGAAAAAGCAAGAGATGAAAATTGTTTACTTTCTTGTCATAAAATTTCACGAATTTTTTCAGAATTTTTTATCAACTTTTTAGTACTGCATTTTCTCATTTTTATCAACATAAGAAAGTATTAAAAAATTCCGAAAAAATTCTAAAAAAGTTCTTAGAGCTTTATGAAAAGAAAATAAGCAATTTTTGCAATTTTTCTGTAAAGTTGATAGCAAGTTGATAGTATTTGAGTAAAAAATTATTGAAGACGAATTTTCGGCAATTTTTAGCAATTAATATTTTGTTAATTATTGCGAAAATTGAAAATGGTAGAGGACTCTCCGTCTCAGTTTAGTCCGCTCTACATGTCCACGAACTCTATCAGACAATTATCAGACACCCTGTATATA